GTTAATGACACAATTATTGTAAAAATGTTAGGGGGAAAATGTCTTCTGATGTCTGACCTTCCCAGAGTTCCAATCCCAGACATATGAAGAGATCAAAACGAACACAAGCACATTTTAAGGTTAGAGAGCAGCTTCGCTGATAAATCAGTCTCTTTGTAGATTTGGAAAGTGAATTAAAATACAGCAATATGTCATATTCCAGGCTAAGTGGCTACAGTTGTACTAAAGGCATGGGCTTGAGTATTTAATGTGGGATTGAGTAGTTGGCACAGTTCATGCTGAGTTCAGAATGGTTTCTTGCCTTTATTGTGCTCTATCGAGCAGATTTCTCAATTGTACTTCTCAGTTTATGTGAACGTCCTTGGTAGACACTTGGCAGTATAGAAGTCCCCACCACACATGGACACTGCTACTTAATACTCAACTACTGAGAAATGAGAGAGCTTCCTAATCACCTCAGACCTTACTTAAAGTAACAGGATTTTCTGTCATCCTAGTGATCAAATGAAGTTCATATCCTCACCCCCATATCACAACAACACAAGGATCAGAGGGACTTAGTGGAGAAGCTGATTTTATGTGAGTGCCAGTGACCAAGTCCAGAGAGACCGCTGAAGTACATGAACTTCAACTGGGCAAGGGGGTCCTTGGCTGGGACACCCTGACCTTATTTCTCACACATGAGCATGTCTGTGTCCCTCCCTTCATACTTCCATGTTCCTCCTGTGTCAGACCTTCCTCTTCTTCTTATTGTTCTGAAATTTTTAATTTTTTTCTTTTCATGTTTCTTGAAACAATGTCTCCTATAGTACAGGCTAGTCTCAAACTGTCTATATAATCAAGGCTTGAAACGCTGACCATCTTGCCTCAGCCTCCCAAGTGCTGGTATTATAAGCATGCAGAAATTTGAAAATCTCTCTCTCTCTCTCTCTGTGTGTGTGTGTTTGTGTGTATGTGTGTGTGCATTTTCTTGCATGTACAGGTGTACATATGCGTACAGACATTCTCTGGGAGCTGTCCATCTTGTTTCCTTGAGATAATGTAATGCCCTTGTAGGCTGAACAAACTGGTTGGAGAGCCATGGGGTTTCCCCTGCCTGGGAATTACAAGTGTCTGTCACCAGGTCTTGCACTTACCATCTGTGTTCAGGTCCTTGTGCTTGCAAGATGAGCCACATCAGCCCAGTACTGATAGTTAGAATGCTCTTTGCACACACATTGATTCACCATAGGCAGGCTATCCAAATCCTATCACATGTCCTTCTAATAAATCTACTTGAAGTCTCTCAAACTGGCCCTGGAGGTATAATCCCCATCGTCAGCCATACATATGTCACATTCACTACTTTGGCATATCCTCTTGTAATGGTGAATACTTAATTCTGTTATGTATTGAATGTATTTTAACTGTGATTTTTTTAATTCATTGCTACTGATAGAATACTATTGTTTTCCTAATACACACTGAAACACATACATGATTACTAAAATTAAGTACATTGAACTGTGACCTCCCTGGAACTCTTGCACTACAGTTGAGGAATTACTGTTCCCATCTTACTAGATGGCAAGAAATAAATTATTAAATTTGTGAAGATAAGTAAAAGCTATTATCTCAGCATTATTTATGTCTATGCCAAATGTGAGGTGACCTTGATATTTTTCATCAAGGTGTACCTGGAAGCTTTACTCTGTGGTGGCATACAAGATGGCAGCAGAGAACTGTACAGTCAGTTGAGAATACATTCTTCATCTCTTTGATGGTATAGTGCCGTATGAATTCTGATGAGAAAATACACTACTCTCCACAGTGCAGCAGGGGAATACATTTTTTTCTCTCTCTTTTTAATTTAAATTAGAAACAAGCGTGCTTCACATGTCAATTCCAGCTCCCTCTCCACCCCCCTTCCCCCGCCCCCCATCAGCCCCCACAACTCGCAGCCCAATCCTTACTCTGCTCCCTAGGGAGGGTGAGATCCTCCATGGGGAATCTCCAAAGTCTTTCATATCATCCAGGGCAGGGCCTAGCCACCCCCCCCCCCCCCCACACACACACAATGAGTCCAGGCAGAGAGAGTATCCCTCCATATGGAATGGGCTCCTATAGTCCATTTGGATGTCAGGGATAAATACTGATCTACTACCCAAGGCCCCATAGATTGCTGAGGCCTCCTTACTGACACACTCCTCCACTGCTGATGGGAGTGCAAACTCGTACAGCCACTTTGGAAATCAGTATGGAGATTTCTCAGGAAAATGGGAATCACTCTACTACAAGATCCAGCAATTCTACTCTTAGGCATATACCCAAAAGATGTGCACTCATTCAACAAGGACATCTGTTTAACTATGTTCTTAGCAGCAGTATTTGTAATAGCCAAAACCTGGAAACAACCTAGATGCCCCTCAACTGAAGACTGAATAGAGAATATGTACGTTTACACAATGGAGTACTACTCAGTGGGAAAAACAACAACAACAATGGAATCCTGAAATTTGCAGGTAAATGGATGACACTAAAAGAAACCATCCTGAGTGAGGTAACCCAGTCACAAAAAGACAAACATGGTATATACTCACTCATATATATGGATTTTAGACATGGAGCAGGGGAGTGCCAGCCTACAATCCCACCACCAGAGTCTAGGAAACAAGGAGGACCATAAGAGAAATAAGCATGTTTCCCCAGATAAGGGAAATGGGACAGGATCTCCTGAGTGGATTGGGCATATTGAGGGGAGGAGAGAGGCAGCAGGGAGAAAGAGAGAGAGAGAAGAGGGGAGAGGAGGACATGGGGAAGTAGGAAGGTTGAGTTGGGGGGGGGGGGATAGAGAGCAAGATGAGAGATACCATAATAGAGGGAGTCATTATAGGTTTGAAGAGAAATCTGGCACTGGTGAGATTTTCAGAGATCTACAAGGATGACATCAACTGGCAATTGAGTGAATAGTGGAGAGGCTACCTTGAATACTGTTCCCTGATAATGAGATGGATGACTACCTTATATGCCATCCTAGAGCCTTAATCCAGTGGCTGATGGAAGCAGACACCCACAGCTAAACAATGAACTAAACTCCTGGAACCTAGTTGCAGAGAGGGAGGAGTGATGGGCAAAAGGGTCAAGAATAGGCAGGTGAAACCTACAGAAACAGTTGACCTCAACAAGGGGGGAGTTCATGGACCCCAGACTGATACCTGAGGTCAACATGGGAAATATGATTTCTATGTGTATCTATAACCTTTATCTTACTTTCCTTTTCTAATTATTCTTCTTAATTAGAAGCTTCATTAAGTGTTCAATGATTTAGAATGTGTGCTAGTCATTTTACTATAATATGAACAACAATAATGTCCATAACAATAACAACCATGACTATTTCCAGGCACTTATGCTTATTACTTAATGTGGATCACCACAGCCATGGAAACCATGCCAAGAGCCACCATGACTATTATTTCCATATAGGCTACTAATCACATCCAAGGTCATAGAGTTAGTAAGTGGAAGAAATGGCACTTGGGCACATCTCTTTGACTTTAATCTTGGTCTTTAATCATAATTTAACAAAGTGTTCTAGAATTCACTTATATCTGTATAAGTGGGATGCCATCCTAACAGGCTTGAGCTTGACTACTGACTATCTCTGAGAACTTGGGCTCTCCATCTTGGTCCTATGTTTCCTCTGGCATCCGACATAGCCATACATTAACAAAGCCTTCTAGCTGGAACTCTATACTATAAATATTAGCTATGCTCTTTTTCCTTTGCCCAATCAAACAGAGTGAACCCACTGTTGTATGCATATTCTTTTGGTCTAGAGAATAATTAATAAACAAAGAGTTGGATCTACCTCTAACAAGCTCTCTTTGGCTTCCAATTCTCAGTCTGTACAGAAGTATATTGGTGATAAAAAGACTTTTCAAGATTATCAACTTCCAATGACCCTGACATATATAATTACGTGATTTTTTAACTCCATGCTTAAGTTATAATTGACGTAAATATTCTTTTTGAATACTTTTACTTGCCTTAGGCTGTCTTACTTCAGAGAGGAAGCGACATATAGGTCAGGAAGAAAGAATATGAGGCAACTCATCAGAATACATTGCACATCAGCAGGAGAAAAACGGCCTCAAATTTTTCTTATAGAACCAGGAAGAACTTGGAGTCAGATTTCTGAACTTAAGTCCATCCATTTGTGGTGACCTCCAACAAATAACCACACTGAGTGTTATTTTTATTATTTGAAGAACTACCAAGTTTTCTGCAATTGAAAACTCTAAGCCTGACTGTACAAGACACAAGGTGATAGAAATTCAAATGGAATGTAAATTAAGATCTCATCCTTTATAATTCTCAACACTTCCAGCAATGCCATCAACCTAGTGTTGGGACAGTTTCCCATCATCTGCTGTGCTAAGAGCATAAAGGACTTTCTGTTGTGAAATATAAAACACCCAGACTAAGAGATGAAGGACATTTTATTTGCTTAAAACTGACAGGGATGTCTGGGTGACTAAAGCAAAGCACAGAGGTGATCAAAACCCTTTATTACTTAGAGAAGCCATATCCATATCTCTGAATACCCAGAGCAGCTCTTTGTAAAACTGCTGGCGTCTTTGTTTAAACAATGTTTGCTAAAAATAGTACTTGAGTCATGGGTTTTTAATTTGTTAGCACAGGGTTCCTAGACATGAATTTCAAACCTATAGAGACTTGAAAGAAATTTAATTAAAGGACTGCAGATAACATTCGTTACAGTACTATAATAGACACAATGGCTGTAATTCTCAAATTGTATTGGATGATGCTGAAATAAGATAGCCTTTCAATCATATTCATTACCAGCAGTTCTTGAAGAATTGTTAATCATATCATGCTTGCTGTGATGAATTAATCTAGCAACAGTGGTATCTCTACATATTAATATGAACACTGCCACGTCTATAGATTCTATTATTAGAAGTGAAGACGCATGAGTTGTTTGAGTCAGCCATTACCTTTCACGATCACATTCCCAGTACTGCTGGCAGTTCCAAAATGGTTAGTGGCTATACAGGTGTAACTTCCAGCATCCGATTTAGTCACGTTGATGATTCGGAGGTTTCCATCTTCAGAAATGGTAATTCTGAAAGAAAACCAAGTAAGCAAAATATTGTGAAGTTTATCTCATGAGAAATGATTTCTGTCTTTCTGTTGCCTTTCACATTATAAATCATAGTTACATCATTTGACAGGTTTGTCTGTTTTTAGGAAGTTGGTCTACATATGCATAAACACGGTTGGGATGTGTCATGTATCTAATGCTTTCCCTATTTTTCTTGCTAAAAACAGTCCCAAACTGTGGTTAGAATAAGAATTATGCATATTAGATTGGTTGTAGCCATTTTTCCTTCTGTAATAATTCTGATGATACACCACAAAGAGAAATCTTAAATAACATGATTAGTTTTAAAACTGCTAATGAAAAATTGGAAAGACTACTGAGGAGATAGCTTAGTTGGTGAAATGCTTGTCATGGCCCAGTGAGAACCTGAGTTTCATTCCCAGAACCCATGTGAAAAGAGATGGGCCAGGTGGCATGAGTTTATAATCCTAGCAGTAGGAAGGCAGAAGTAGGTAGGTAGATGCCTGACACTTACTGGTCAGCCAGTCTAGCTTGCCCAATAAGCTCCAAGTGAATAAGAGACCTTGTCTTAGAAACTAAATTGGCCAAAAGGTGAAGGATGATCCAGGTTTATCCCTGGCCTCCACAAGCACACAAGCACACCCTCACACCCTCATGAACTCTCTCTCTCTCTCTTTCTCACTCTCTCTCATACACACACACACACACACACACACACACACATACACACACACACACACACACACACACACACACACACACACCCAGGAACACACACAGAGAGTTCTCTGCTTTGTATTTTGCTTCTAATGACCATTAGTCACACTGGTCCTTATAAGTTCCTTGAGTATTTCAGATCTGTTCCTACCTCAGTGCTTTTGAACTTGCCAGACTTGGTCCTTATCTGCCTTTGTTGGTTACTTGTTCCTTGTCCTATATCTTCTGAGAATAGGGACAGTGTTCATTTTATGATTTAACTTGCATCTGATATACTGCATAAAGTGGACTAATTGCCCTGTAAACTGTTGTTAAGTGGTAGAATGAATGGGTATATAAATAATTTATATCCTGAGAATCAACATATGTTAGAGGAATTTCAAGTCACTGAACCACTGGGTGCTAGTAAATATTCCAGCGGAGGATCTAGAATGGGGAGAATTCAACTTAACTGACCCTTTGATTGGGATTTTTTTATTTTTAATAAACAACTGAAGATTTAAACTTACTGGGTTGCAGAAACAGGGTTTATTGTTGGGCTACCAAAGCTATAGTTCTTCTCAGGACCTGTTCCAGAGTCTATGAGCAAGTTAGCTGAAATGTGGAAAACTTAACAAAGGATGATGGGATCACAAAGATGAGTGTTTATGTAACACACATGTCAGTTCTGCTTGCTCAGTTTTGTAATCTCTGGTCTCCTTGTCTATGAAACAGAACTGATTTAACAAACCTGATTGGCTCTTGGAGTGGACTGGTTGTGTTTCTAACATCTTCCCTGGTATTTATCAGTTAGCCATGTCTTTCATCTTTTTGTTTTGATTATTAATTATTGATTTATTTTGTTTTATCTTATTTTGTTTTGTTTGTCTCAGTGTGTAGCCCAGGCTGGCATTATATTTCTGACTCCAGTACTGGGATTAGATGAGTACTAAAACACCTGGCTTCTTTCTTTCATCTTGGAAAGTGAACTATTATTTAGTCCCTTCTACATATGGCAAGTTGATATAGACCAAACCCTCCCCAGTACTTTCATTTTCTATTGTAAGTAAGTAAGGCTATAAATAAACTGGGTCATTTCAAATCAATGGAGATGGCACATGAGGTATCTAGAGTGTTGTAGTGGGAAGGTCTGTACCAGTGGATGGTGTCTGTGACTGAGTTGCTTTCTGCTGGAGGCCTGGAGTCAAGGACAATGGCTTCTGGGCTAAGACTGACCCCTGTAGAGGCTAAAAAACAGATAGATTCCCTGTTGCAACCATGAACCATTTCGTGGTAGTAGCTCCTGGCAGTTGGGCTGAAAGGGCTGACTTGGTACTTGAATGTTTTCCGATCCACAACTCACAAAACCTATGGAGACTCAATTAAAGCAAAGTTCAGTGTAACCAAAACTTGCCCTCAGCAATGGTTGTGGTCTTAATGAGTTTGAGACTCAGAATAGAGGAAGCAGCCTGAATACTAGGCACAGGACCTATTTGCAACACAAAGAGAAAAGGAGCTGCTCATTGGAGACTTCTGTTTCTAAGTCACCCAGGCAAAAAAATGCTGTAGAAATGAGAACCAACAAAGCTTAATCTTCAATAGAAGATCAAGCTATAGTCAGATTATCTACACATGCTCTATATAAGGCAGAGCCTATCAACACCTGGCATGGACGGGGAGCCCCCCATTCCTTGTGGATCTGTACTCAGTCAGTGATTGATGTGTCAGAGAGGGATGTTTTCTTTAGTGGTCCAGGCACCAATAAGGTACCCATAGTCCTTTAAATAAGCCATTACTCATACTCCTGCAAACAACCTTAATGAAACTCATTGGGCCATATACACAGGACATGAAGGTAGAAAGAGGGAGATTTTGGAAGAGACTAGGAGTCAGGGGAAAGGGTAATAGGGTAATGTACATGTGCAAAAATGTCAGAAAAAAAGACCATTACTATGTACAAAAAATGTAGTGAAGAATGATGCAGTTCCTATTAGTTTTATACACAGGTACTATTTCCTGGAATAAAATTCCTCAAAGTTACAGTTTTAAAAAGTATGCTAAATCCGAGCCTTGGGTGAAAACACAAAGATACAGACAGGAGGCCTTCTGCTCACTCACTCAGAGGTGCTCACAGTTCCTACCAAGCAGTATTTGATTCCCTATTTACCCGAGAGCAGATTAACTGACAAAAGCAGAATGGCAATCACATCTTAATCACCTCAATAATAACAAAAATAGCTTGTAAGGACTTGATCATATTCCTATTTATGAGACAATTTGCTGCAAATTGAGAAATGTCAGAGTATAATAACTCAGTAAACAGGGTAGCATTCATATTTTGGATGTGAATTCATCTAACTTGAGGTAGATGACCCCGGGGCATAGTAAACACTCAGAGGGATACTTTTAATACACAAAGGTCTATTGATAGATTGCTTCTGGTTCTTGTGGTAGACTGGTCACATTAGCATTCATATTTTGGATGTGAATTCATCTAACTTGAGGTAGATGACCCCAGGGCATAGTAAACACTCAGAGGGATAATTTTAATACACAAAGGTCTATTGATAGATTGCTTCTGGTTCTTGTGGTAGACTGGTCACATTTTCCAAAGAAACTGCCATACTGATTTCCAAAGTAGCTGTACAAGATGGCACTCCCACCAGCAATGGAGAAGTGTTTCCCTTTCTCCACATCCTCTCCAGCATAAAGTGTCATTGGTGTTTTTTTTTTTTATTTTAGCCATTCTGACAGGTTTAAGATGGTAGCTAGGAGTTATTTTGATTTGCATTTCCCTGATGGCTAAGGATGTTGAGCAATTTCTTAAGTGTTTTTCAGCCATTTTAGATTCCTCTATTGAGAATTGTCTATTTAGTTCTGTACCACACTTTTTAATTGAATTATTGGGTGTTTTTGTGACTAGCTTCTTGAGTTCTTTGTTTATTTTGGTAATCAGCCCTCTGTCAGATGTGGGGTTGGTGAAGATCTTTTCCCATTCTGTGGGCTGCCATTTTGTCTTGCTGACTGTGTCCTTTGCTTTACAGAAGCTTCTCAGTTTTAGGGGATCCCATTTATTAATTGTCAATCTCAGTGTCTGTGCTATTGTTGTTATGTTCAGGAAGTTGTCTCCTGTACCAATTCATTCAAGGGTACCTCCCAGTTTCTCTTCTAAGAGGTTCAGTGTGGCTAGATTTATGTTGAGGTTTTTGGTCCATTTGCACTTAAGTTTCTTTAAATTTTTATTTTAAATTTAAATTAGAACCAAGGTTGCTTCATATGTCAATCCCAGGTCCCTCTCCATTTCCCTCCCCTTCTCCCACGTCCTCCAACCAAACCCCAATACCCCCTCATTTCCCCAGGGAGGGTGAGGCCCTCCATGGAGGTGTCCATAGTCTGTCATTTCATCCAGGGCAGAGCCTAGACTCTCCCCTGAGAGTCCAGGTTGAGAGTGCATCTCTCATTGTTGGATGGGCACCCAAAGTCCATTTGTATGCCAGGGATAAATACTGATCTACTACCCAAGGCCCAATAGATTGCCTAGGCCTTCTCACTGACACTCATTCAGGGGGTCTTGATCAGTCCCATGCTGGAATCCCAGCCATCAGTCTGGGATTCAGGAGCTAACCCTGGCAGGTCAGCTGTTTCTGGGGGTTAAACCAGCCCAGTCTTAACCCCTTTGCTCATCAGTTCTCCCTCTCTGTCACTGGGTTCCTTGAGTTCAGCTCAGCGTTTAGCTGTGGGAGTCTGCCTCTGCTTCCATCAGCCATTGGATGAAGGTTCTGTTCCCCAGACTCTCTGGCTGTGGGATTGTAGGCTGGCACTCCTCAGATCTATATCTGAAATCCATATACGAGTGAGTATATACCGTGTTTGTCTTTTTGTGACTGGGTTACCCCACTCAGGATGGTTTCTTCTAGTCCCATCCATTTGTCTGCAAATTTCAGTTTGTGAATGGTAATAAATAAGGATCTATCTGCAGTCTTCTACATGTCCACATCCAGTCATGCCAGCATCATTTGCTGAGGATGCTTTCTTTTTCCCATTGTATAGTTTTAGCTTATTTGTCAAAGATCAGGTGTTCATAGGGTTAATATCAGGATCTTCTATTCTATTTCATTGGTCTACCTGTTTGTTTTTGTGCCAATACCAAGGGGTTTTCATTACTATAGCTCTATAATAGAGCTTGAAATCAGGGATGGTGATGCCTCCAAATGTTCCTTTATTATACAGGGTTCTTTTGGCTATTCTAGGTTTTTTGTTTTTCCCTATAAAGTTGAGTATTGTCCTTTTAAGGTCTGTGAAGA